ATAATTAAAGGACAAAATGAATTAAACTGTTTACATTGACACAAATATAAGAAACTGGATTAAACCTGCATCATGTGTTCACTGCATGTCTCAGCTCTACTGATTTTGTAAATAATACAATGGGGAAAAAAACAACATTGTCATTTCAACACCACTAACTTTCAAAGTCACCAACAGGCATGTTGGGGGAGCTGCTGCTCTTTCTCTTCCCCTCTCTGCTATCTTTTCATCTTTCTCTCTATTCCTCCTTTGACAGGAGTTGATGTGCCTCTAGATTTAGACATACTTTTTTGAGGAGGCAATTTTGCCAGCTATTTGACCTTTTCCATTTTCCCAAGGCCCAGCTCCAGATTAGATTGCTGCTCCATGTTTTGTAACTATGTGATTCGACCGCCTTTAAGATTTATTGTCACATTCCTTTACAGAAGCCTTGTATGCGAGGTTATAAATGTCCTGTGTTTGATGTTAACACTGTGAGAATGGTAGTGTCGACTGTGATCCTTTGGTTCCTTGACAGAATTCATAATAGCTTCAGTGTTTTGCAGATCAGACGTGTTGATAACTGATATTTTATTATGTTCTATCCAGTAAAATCTCAACTTGGTGTCCGCGATGATTGTTCGGGTTTCTCCTCCTCCTCTTCAAGTGCTCCTCTCCTCTCTCCCTCACCTCTCTGTTATGGTGGAGCTGATGTGTATATGTAGCCTTTCTTTCAAATAATGAGAGCAAGGGCACTTCATTAGCCAGAAGGGAGGGAGTAAGGAGGCGAAGGCAGCATGAGTGTTTCTGTGCTTTTGTGTATGCATGCAAGGGGTGGGTGCAAGGGAGGTAAGCATCAGCGTGGCACTTCACTTGACAAGTATACTAATTACTCCCTTTTCAGCAGAGAAGCTCCAGTCAGCCTCTGCCACAGTCTAATGGCCTGACCTAGGAAGCCTCTCTTCATAGCAGCACCTTCCCAGATCTACTATTACTATACTGCCACACACACACACACAAGCTTAGAGTTCTATCTCACCGCTATCAGGGAGAATCAGGTGGAAGCAGATCAGTTCTGCCCCAGTAACCTCTTCAGGGACTGGGCTCCTCCTGCACACGAGATACCACCTCAAATCATCAACTAGCACATACACACCACCAAAAGATATCTTTTTTAAAAAAAACACACACATTTTTTTCTTCCTTTCGTCTCATCTCCCACACTCTCTCGTTCCCATCCTCTGTTTTTTTTTTTTTTTTTTT